AAATGGTCATGCTCCCACAGAAGGTGTAATGCCAACAAACTGGCATTTTCTGATGGAAAAATGTTCCTTCAGCAATTCTTTGACCAGCAATAATGATAATGTTATAAGCAGATTGGAGAACACAGGTGGGCGCAGTGTCATGATTTGGTAGTTATAAAGATTTAGAGAAAAAATGACAATAAAATTAAACGGGTGTATACAGAATGGGAAAAGGTCACGAGATTATTATGATTGGTTTTGGCCCAACATGAAGGGTACTAGTCCTGGGCGAAGCCTGTGCCACAAAGCAGAGGATAAACAGCGACAGAGCACAGCAACTTTGAAGCTATATTATCAGGCCAGCACCTTAAAGAAGGGTTTCAGCCCTGGCAGATTTGAACGAAGGCAACAGTATTATGGGGCAACTCAATGGGCAGCTCTGCTCAAGGCGCAAAGAGCGGGCACGATGTTGTAATTCCCAAAGGTTTCAATGGAGAACAACAGGGAGTGTGTCTACACGAGACACTTTACTGTGTAGTAGAGCAAGTGACTGCGCGGTAAGCATCGTTGTCTACCCGTGCGGACCCTTACTGCCCAGTAATTTGCTCTGCTTTGCTAATCTACAAATCTGGTCCCAAATGCCCCCTCATGCAGGTGCCTGCCCAGGGTGGGTTTACTCTGGAGTAAACCCATCGGGTAGCATTTGCATGTGTAGATGTGCCCAGGGAGTGCAATCTAATATTGTTGTATACCTGAACAAGAAGCCCTTGCCAAGAATATCAGGAACAGGACTGGTGACCCCCTTCCCAAGAGCATATTGCAGAATTAGAGGATGTCTCTCGGGATTCAAATGGGGATCAAGCCCTTGAGGGGATCTGAGTTGCAACACAAAACGCTAATAGACAAAAATGAGTCTGAGAAGGAAAACAGGCCTTGCTGCTTCAGGGCACAAGACCACAATCATCGGGGTCAAGAGGGGCATTCCCTTGGAGCCGGCCATCCCGCTGTCCTCTCCCAGGCAGTACTGGAGCATTTCTTTCTCCAAATCCTTTGGCAATGTTGAGACAAGGCTCTGGACCTGAGAGCACACCACTCTACACCAGCCTGATAGTCAACTTCAGAGGGTGCTGCTCATTTTGACTTGGAGATGGGAAGGAGCAAAGAGTTAACATGGCCTTTCCTTTCTCATCATGGACCAGGTAAAGGACCAGACTGTCCGAATACCGAGTGAATCCAAAAGGGCCAATGGAGCATGAATACCAGCACCTAGCATCCCCCTCCTTCTTGCATGCCAAGGAATGGTTCAGGTTTCAGATACTCCTTTGTGTCGTGCAAACACTGCAGCTAATCCTAGCCCTGGACACCCTGTGCTGCACCATGGGCACATCTCCATGAGACACTAAATGTGCAGTAGACTCATTCTACCGTGCATTAGTGCGCCATGACAAAAGCTGTGTTAATGTGCAGTGGAATCAGTCTACTGTGCACTAGCATCACTAAAAAGGCATGTGCCGGTGTTACTCCACATTTAGTTAGTACCTATTACAGGACACTCTTACATGTGCAAGTGCTGCAGTGCCGGGTGCTTTGAAAAGCATTTGGCGCTGCAACGCTTGCAGTTGTATACTCAGCGAAATGTGTGTCAGCACTGAGATTATGGCAGCAACGCGCTTTTGAAGTAAAACACACAGGAGGTGCTTTATTTCCAAAGCGCACTGCTGCCATTTTCTGCATGCTGACACGCATTTAGCCACTTATACAACTGCATGCAGCGCAGTTTGCATCAGCTCATGCGTGACGCAGACTCAATTAATCTCCGGCACGTCACAGGGACAAAAAAGTATGCGTATAAATGCCCACCGGTTAATGTGCAGTAACTACAGTACATTAATGCATGTGTAGACGTGCCCTGTGAGAGCTGTGAGAGCCATTATGTCTTGGTGCGATTTGGGCCATTTGGCACTAAGATCATTTGCAAGCAGCAAGAGCAAGGATGACAGCAGCATCCTGCGGCGTATGTGCTGGCTGATAGGACAGGCCCACAAACTGTTGCTCCTTCTTTACATATGTTGTTCCACTATTTATACCGTGTGTGTGTGTGTGTGTGTGTGTGTGTCAGAGAGAGAGAGAGAGAGTGTGTAAGTGATAGAGAGAGAGACGGAGAGAGCTCTGTCACTGCCTCGAGTGTCTCAGGAACTGGGACCTCTCCCTCCCCGGATCAGTCTAATGTTCTCGTCATCCATCTTGCCACATATTCTGGGATCATTTCCAGGGGTCAAGTAAATGCTTCTAATTTATACAATATAGGTCAGGACCCATTTAACAGCTTACAAACTGGCTTCTCCCTCCATACTATCCCTCTGGCTCTTGGTGACGAGAAAATAGGTCACAAGCAGCGAGTGGAGGGGGGATTAATCATTTCCTCTGGCAGCTGCTGGGAAAAATATTTTCACATTTTGCTTAAAGTTTTTAATTAGCGATTTTGTAATTGTTCCTGTCTAGTTTATTAGAGTCCAGGCCAGGAGGGACAGACTCTCAGGTGGAAAACTCCCCTGGTTCCTCACTCCCTACTCTCAGGTCCCTCCTACAACCTCCCTGGGGCTGGGCCCTGCTCAAGCTCGGTGCTCTGGCCACGTGTAGGGTCCAGCAGGGATGAGAACGTGGCTGGTCTGCACTGCAGGCACTGCAGTAACGCTGTGTCTGCCACAGATGCACTGCATACGTGCAGAGGGCTTCCACCATGTTTCATGGTCGCATGTATGCCATACATGTATGGTGGGGGCCAAGCCCCGCTTCACAGCAGGGCCACCCCTGCTCAGTGCAAGACTCGAGCCTCGCTTCACTTTAGTGCAACGCTGTCCACCGCGGGGCTCTGTCTGGTGGAGCACGTGCACTCGGGGAGTGCCACAGCCGCTTCCAACTGGGATAGCGAAGGCACACGGGGGATTTATGTCCCACGTTGCACTGGTGCAGCCTGGCCGTGCACTGTCCAGTTCCAGTGGTGTGAACAACCCCCAGGTAGACACGTGCTTAGTTTTGGAACTGAAGCTGTAAACCCACGAGCCTCTGTGGAACTACACCAAGGATGGATTGGACCCAAGATACCAGTATATCGGCTACTGATGTTCCCGCTCCAGGACAGGGCCACCATCCTCCTCCTCAACAGAAGGGATGAGCTACTCTTTGGGTTCAGGGCAAAGGGTCTGCTATCCCCCCTCTAAAGGCCTGAACAAACTCTTGATGTGCGAAGAGTGGGGAAGCTACTTCCAGTGGACTAAGAGCTCCTCTGTGGTGATTTCTGAACAAAGCTACAATGCCAAAGCAGAGCCGGCCCTGTTCTGCTCTTTAATTGATCTCCTGGGAGTGGAAGGGATTGTACTCAGTGCTGTTCACTCTGCCTTTGTGTCAGACACGGTGCTGAACCTCGCTGTTAACCACAGCACTGTGAATCCTGGCTGCACTGCCACTCCATGATCCTGGGGCACCTGCCACCTCTTGCCATCATGGCCAACCCCGGCAAGAGCTTGACACCTAGCATGGCAAGGCTTGCACTACTCCCCCCGTACATTCACTGAAGGTGGGAAACCCCAGGCTGTTTTGATACCTTCTCATAGTATTGCAGCTCATAGTCTAGGATGACTCCATTGGGTTGGTCAGGTTGAGACCATGAGAGGGTAATACTGTCCACGGTGCGGCTAACCTGATGCATGATGGACACAGCAGAAGGAGCTGAAAGAGAGAGAAAGAGAGAGAGAGAGAAATGTAAGTCAAATGCAAGAGTAGATGGCACTTGAATATGATGGCTGGGGGCTGATCTGGTCATTACAGGGACGGTGTACAGACCCTGGGCAGTTTAAATAGGGCCCCTACAGCCAGGGTACCGTGTGCAGGTCATTCCTGGGGCATGCATATCAACCTTGCGAGTCTGCCCATCTGCTGTCTCCCTGCAATACGTGAAAGTTAAATTAGGGTAGCTTTGCATTGTGTTATTCAGTGATAAAATGGCCAGCTTAGCTTTTACCTACTGCGGGGGGAAAGTGGGCACACGGCCAGTTGCCGAGGTGCAGCAGGTCCACAGTGAGTTGTTGGACCCCTTTTAACTTTAACTTTGTTCATTTGCCCTTATCTTACATCCATCTTGTCTTGTTTTGTTGCAAGCTCTATGGTACAGAGACCATGTACATCACTTGGTATGATGGCCCTGAGAGAGGCTGAGCACTACTATAATGCAAATACTAAATAGCAGGAAAAATACTGCAGATAAAATAGTTCAACGGAAGTAAATACAAAGAGCATTCCCACTTGGCTGGGACAGAGAAATGCAGAGTATGTTCTGGCCCCGAGGGATACAGCCCACAGCCCACGCTGGGACTATGAAAAGATCCCATCCATTACCAGCACTGCTGAGTGACCAAAACCAGGCACGGAGAACCGAAGGACCGACACTGTACAAACCTGACCGAGCAAAAACCCTTTTACAGTAGAATTTCCCAAATACGTAAGTTGAATTACCGCATCTATACGAATTATGCCCTGGCTCTCTCCTTTGGGTCCTGAAATATTTCTGAGTAAAGGTACAACACACGTAAAATGATTAGGCACCCTTTGTTTTCCCCTCCTGCTCTGCACGGAGGTATTTCCCACACTGTCCAGAGCATCACCTGGATGATGCCATTCAAGCATCTGGTTGTAATACTCAACGTGGCCCTGTGGGATTTGATACTTTGTTCCATGAAAAATGGCACTACTTTCCAATGACAAAATAAACGGAGATGTAATGATCCTTCCCAAGGCTCTCACTTTATCTCAGAGACAAATGTTCGCTTCCTCTGTCTCCATCCTCCTGGGGGAGTTCCCCAAACACTCAGGCACTGGGGTTAAAACAAAGGAGGGTTTTCCTCTTCCATCCTTTGTTTCTGGGACGTGTGCCCAAGTACACACGCATGAAGTCATTTGTGCTTGCACAGGTCCTGGAAGAGGAGGACCACCTGTGCATAAGTGCATACTTAGACCCTAGAAACTGGCTAAAAGGAAATAGGACGTCACCCTAAATCAGGGGTGGGCAAAATGCGGCCCGTGGGCTGGATGTGGCCCGCCAGGTCAATCTATCCAGCCTGCGGGGCCCCTAAAAATTAGAAAATTTATATATATCTGCCCCTGGCTGCCTGTAATGTGGCCCTTGATGGCTTGCCAAGACTCAGTAAGCGGCCCTCTGCCTGAAATAATTGCCCGCCCCTGCCCTAAATGCACGTGTAATTATTACACACGAGGAACTGGAATAGTTGCAGTGCAAGAAAGGGCAAAAACCGTGGCGTGTACAAACACCCGTAGAGAGGGGCTGTCGGCGGACACGGTTGTGGCTGGGGTAGGGTCACAACACCCCAGCCCCAACAGCTGTTGTCGTTTTTGATGCCGCCCTCACGTTTCTGAATGCACTGGAAGAGAACAATTAATTGTGCTCGTGACTCCAGGTGTCTGCGCGCGCAGCGGGGATGACAGAAGTACTTGTTTCCACTGGGCAAGGACACTTCCTTCTCTTGTCTGACAAACCAGACTCCCTTTGTCCTACCTAAGATGAACCGTATCCTCCCAATACTCAAAGGACTTGGGACTCCCAGACACAAGACACCAGCAGAAGCCCTTTCTTGGCTGATGTCACGGCCCCAGATTCTCTGGACTCTTCTGATTGATACCTTTTGCCTGAGGCTAGTTCAACACAGCAGAGGGGGAAAAAAAAAAAAGCTAGACAAGAAACACTGTCAGTTCAGAAAATATTTTCTTTAGGAAAAGCCATAGGCATAAAGTGACAATGTCCTTCCCTGTAATACAGTCTGCAAACTGCTGTGTGGGAGGATATTGAAACCTTGGTATTGCCCCAGACAGCAAATTCTTCAATGCGGAGACCAGGGGGGAAATTCTGATCCTAATGAAAGCAATGGAGCTCTGCCACCGGCTCTGATGCAGCCAGGACGTTACCCCATGTCTCCATGCGTGCATGCAACATCAAGCAACCCGGGGACCCTTGTCCTGACGGGAGAACCTCAGTGATACTCTCACAATGCAAAACAATTGTAATTGTCAAATATGAATGAAGAATCATGGTTTTCTGATGCCTATTTGGGCACCCTGGACCCAGAAGGAAGCGAGTACTGCAACCTGTAGCGTTGCAATGATTATGTTGGAGCACCTTGCTAACAGAGTCTACATCCCGTGTCAGGGCATGGACACACGAATGAGTTACTGTGAGCTAAGGGTCTTAGCACATCAGCTGCTCCATGGTAAATTAACCCTAACCTCCTTGACCTGGGCTCTGCCTGAAGACAAGGTAGGCATCTGGGCTCTGAGTGCCAAGGTTGGGTCATTCTGGCTCTTGCTTCAAGGTCCACACTGCAGACTCCACAGGCCAAATTCTACCCTCGTTCGGGGGTAAAGCCCCACCGGTTCCCTGGGCGGCTCTCAGGGGCATCCCCTGCGCGTTTGAATGCGCGTGATCCAGATCAAGCTGGAACTGAGCTCCCTGTCACGGCTCTGCGGAAAATCCTGCCTTCTACTCCTGCAGCAGCCACGCGGCGGGAGACAGACGGGGACCTGAATAAAGGCATCGGCAACAAACCTCAGGTGCGAGACGGAGCCACGTTTTCTCTGCTGCTTTTTGTAGCAGCAATAAAAGCATTCGAACAACCCCAATTCCACCGCAGAAGGAGGCCCTCGCTGGGCAGCGTGCTCCCTTCTGCTGGACAAAATAGGCAGTCAGCGGCTTAAATGTTCCTCCCTGTGTTTTCTAAGTGTTGGGATCCTAGAGCTGAGTATCTGGCTTAGCTGAGGTACGTACAACGCAGCAAGCTATTTGCCTCATGATGCCTCTGCGCTGGCTCGCAGAGGTATTTGGTGCTTGCACATAACGGTGCAACCTGTTGTTACAGAATTTTTATTTGCCTGTTGGAGATGATAAGGAACATTAAGCTATAAGCAAGAAGGAAAGAGCACATGCCATCCATTTCCAATGAGACAGGTAAGGGTTCATACAGTAATATCCTGCCTGCACAATTCCAGCACAAAGAAGGGGGAGAGTGATTCTTGGACTTCATAAATAGGCCAGAAGGGCCCATTACAGCCCCTCAATGCAGGGGCCGACCACCTATGGCTCACGGGCCGGATCCATGCCATGAAGACTTGGGCTTGGCCTGAAAAGGCATGATTTGGTTGGGGGGAGGCACCAATTTAAAGGGATCTCCTGCTCTGTGCTCTCACCACCAAAGTTTCTGTT